GCCTAACCCCACCCTAACCCTAACCCCAGCCCCAGCCCCAACCCGGAGCAGAACCTAAGCCAGTGATGGCGAACCTATGACAATGCGGGTCAGAGGTGACACGTGAACTCATTTTTTTGGTTGATTTTTCTTTGTTAAATGGCATTTAAATATATAAAATAAATATCAAAAATATAAGTCTTTGTTTTACTATGGTTGCAAATATCAAAAAATTTCTATATGTGACACGGCACCAGAGTTAAGTTAGGGTTTTGCAAAATGCTGACACGCCGAGCTCAAAAGGTTCGCCATCACGGTGCTGTCCTCTCCTCTGTTTTTACTCTTTTTACTTATGCTCTCCCCTCTGTCTGAAGTGCCATGTCCCCTGCATGTCACCAGACTGACTCTTGCTCCTTTAAAAAGACTCAGCTCAGCCCCTACCCTCATTCCATCCCATCCCAGGCTAGGAGACTTCCCTGGAATCCCGAGTCCCTGCCTGAGTCACCGTCCCAGTACTTAACCCTTTGACTGGACTTGGTGATTTCTCCCACTACCAGGGGTGGGCAAACTTTTTGACTCGAGGGCCACAATGGGTTCTTAAACTGGACCGGAGGGCCGGAACAAAAGCATGGATGGAGTGTTTGTGTGAACTAATATAAATTCAAAGTAAACATCATTACATAAAAGGGTACGGTCTTTTTTTTTTAGTTTTATTCATTTCAAACGGGCCGGATCCGGCCCACGGGCCGTAGTTTGCCCACGGCTGCCCTAGCCCCCAACACAGGGGTGGGCTGAGGGTCAGGGTCAGGGAGGCGTCCCACCCCCCAACACAGGGGTGGGCTGAGGGTCAGGGTCAGGGAGGCGTCCCACCCCCCAACACAGGGGTGGGCTGAGGGTCAGGGTCAGGGAGGCGTCCCACCCCCCAACACAGGGGTGGGCTGAGGGTCAGGGTCAGGGAGGCGTCCCACCCCCCAACACAGGGGTGGGCTGAGGGTCAGGGTCAGGGAGGCGTCCCACCCCCCAACACAGGGGTGGGCTGAGGGTCAGGGTCAGGGAGGCGTCCCACCCCCCAACACAGGGGTGGGCTGAGGGTCAGGGTCAGGGAGGCGTCCCACCCCCCAACACAGGGGTGGGCTGAGGGTCAGGGTCAGGGAGGCGTCCCACCCCCCAACACAGGGGTGGGCTGAGGGTCAGGGTCAGGGAGGCGTCCCACCCCCCAACACAGGGGTGGGCTGAGGGTCAGGGTCAGGGAGGCGTCCCACCCCCCAACACAGGGGTGGGCTGAGGGTCAGGGTCAGGGAGGCGTCCCACCCCCCAACACAGGGGTGGGCTGAGGGTCAGGGTCAGGGAGGCGTCCCACCCCCCAACACAGGGGTGGGCTGAGGGTCGGGGTCAGGACTAAAGGTCAGCCCACCCCTCCTTGGGGGTCACACTAGGCCTCAGGGTGCCACCCCCAGATGGGGCAGAGTCGGGAGCAGGGCAAGGGCTGGGGCTGAGGTCAGGGTCACAGCGTGGTCCCCCCGTCTCCCCACCCCCTTTGCTACTCGGATAAATTAGGCCTCCTGGATTCGGCCAACAAGCCTGACCAGGAACAAGGCCAGAGGTCAGGCCTGGGGTCAGGGCCCCCCGGATGCTCACACGGCGGCCTGGTCCTCAGGGACGCCGCCCACAAAGAGGTCTGTGTCCAGGTTGAGTCCATCAGTGCCACTGGGGCTCTGGCCCAGGACGGGGGGCTCGCCGTCCACCGAGAGCGTCCCCTGGCGCCAGTGCCGAGACAGTGAGCGGCCCCCAAAGGACGGCACCGAGGGGTGCAGAGCTGCGAGACGGACACCAGGTGGAGGGGACAGGACCAGCCACAGCCCTGCCCTCCAGCCCGAAACCCGCCCCTTCACCAACCTGACCCCTCAGCCCAGCCTCCACGCCTCAGCCCCCAACCCTGGCCCCACGTGCCTGCCTGCCCCTCCCCAGCAAGGAGGCCCTTACCGTTCTCACAGACAGCGCCCCCCCTGCCGGCTGGGCAGCTGCAGGTGAAGGCTCCCCCCGCGTCCTGGTCCTGGCAGGTCCCCCCATACAGGCAGGGCTGGGAGTCA